CCTCTCATTGTGCTTTTATATCTCTGCCTTTCCTCTCATTGTGCCTTTATAACTATGCCTTTACTTGTGCTTTATACCTCTGCCTTTCCTCTCATTGTGCTATACCTCTCCCTTTCCTTTCAGGTTGCCTTTATATTTCAGCCTTTCCTCTCATTGTGCCTTTATACCTCTCCCTCCCCCCCTTTTTTTCATCAAATGATTTTTGCAGTACTTGACACCTTTGCCTTTCATTTAACGCCACCTTTACATGACATCTCCACTTTTCCTTTCAGTGTGCCTTTCTTTCAATACATTTTTCCATGGTGTCTCTACCTTGGCTTTCAGTATGATTTAGCATGACACTACCATTTGTACTTGTGAAGATACCTCTATATGACACTTTCCCTGTGAAAGATACCTCTAAATGATACTTTCCTTGTTAAGATACCTTTATATGACACTCTCCTTGTTAGATACCTTTATATGACACTTTCCTTGTTAAGAGACCTTTATATGACACTTTACCTGTTAAAGAGACCTTTATATGACACTTTCCTTGTTAGATACCTTTATATGACACTTTCCTTGTTAGATACCTTTATATGACACTTTCCTTGTTAAGAGACCTTTATATGACACTTTCCATGTGAAAGATACCTTTATATGACACTTTCCTTGTTAGATACCTTTATATGACACTTTCCTTGTTAGATACCTTTATATGACACTTTCCTTGTTAAGAGACCTTTATATGACACTTTCCATGTGAAAGATACCTTTATATGACACTTTCCCTGTGAAAGATACCTTTATATGACACTTTCCTTGTTAAGAGACCTTTATATGACACTTTCCTTGTTAAGAGACCTTTATATGACACTTTCCCTGTGAAAGATACCTTTATATGACACTTTCCTGTGAAAGATACCTTTATATGACACTTTCCTTGTTAAGAGACCTTTATATGACACTTTCCTTGTGAGATACCTTTATATGACACTTTCCTTGTTAAGAGACCTTTATATGACACTTTCCCTGTGAAAGATACCTTTATATGACACTTTCCTTGTTAGATACCTTTATATGACACTTTCCTTGTTAAGATACCTTTATATGACACTTTCCTTGTTAGATACCTTTATATGACACTTTCCTTGTTAAGAGACCTTTATATGACACTTTCCTTGTTAAGATACCTTTATATGACACTTTCCTTGTTAAGAGACCTTTATATGACACTTTCCTTGTTAGATACCTTTATATGACACTTTCCTTGTTAAGAGACCTTTATATGACACTTTCCTTGTTAAGAGACCTTTATATGACACTTTCCTTGTTAAGAGACCTTATATGACACTATCCCTGTGAAAGACACTTCCTTGTTAGATACCTTTATATGACACTTTCCTTGTTAGATACCTTTATATGACACTTTCCTTGTTAAGAGACCTTTATATGACACTTTCCCTGTGAAAGATACCTTTATATGACACTTTCCCTGTGAAAGATACCTTTATATGACACTTTCCTTGTTAAGAGACCTTTATATGACACTTTCCCTGTGAAAGATACCTTTATATGACACTTTCCTTGTTAAGAGACCTTTATATGACACTTTCCTTGTTAAGAGACCTTTATATGACACTTTCCTTGTTAGATACCTTTATATGACACTTTCCTTGTTAAGAGACCTTTATATGACACTTTCCTTGTTAGATACCTTTATATGACACTTTCCTTGTTAAGAGACCTTTATATGACACTTTCCTTGTTAGATACCTTTATATGACACTTTCCTTGTTAAGAGACCTTTATATGACACTTTCCTGTGTTTATATGACCTTTATATGATATGACACTTTCCTTGTTAAGAGACCTTTATATGACACTTTCCTTGTTAAGAGACCTTTATATGACACTTTCCTTGTTAGATACCTTTATATGACACTTTTCCTGTGAAAGATACCTTTATATGACACTTTTCCTGTGAAAGATACCTTTATATGACACTTTCCTTGTTAAGATACCTTTATATGACACTTTTCCTGTGAAAGATACCTTTATATGACACTTTCCTTGAAAGATACCTTTATATGACACTTTCCTTGTTAGATACCTTTATATGACACTTTCCTTGTGAAGAGACCTTTATATGACACTTTCCTTGTTAAGATACCTTTAGATGACCTTTCCCTGTGAAAGATACCTTATATGACACTTTCCTTGTTAAGAGACCTTTATATGACACTTTCCTTGTTAAGATACCTTTATATGACACTTTCCCTGTGTTAGATACCTTTATATGACACTTTCCTTGTTAAGAGACCTTTATATGACACTTTCCCTGTGAAAGATACCTTTATATGACACTTTCCCTGTGAAAGATACCTTTATATGACACTTTCCTTGTTAGATACCTTTATATGACACTTTCCTTGTTAAGAGACCTTTATATGACACTTTCCTTGTTAAGAGACCTTTATATGACACTTTCCTTGTTAAGAGACCTTTATATGACACTTTCCCTGTGAAAGATACCTTTATATGACACTTTCCTTGTTAAGAGACCTTTATATGACACTTTCCTTGTTAGATACCTTTATATGACACTTTCCCTGTGAAAGATACCTTTATATGACACTTTCCTTGTTAAGAGACCTTTATATGACACTTTCCTTGTTAAGATACCTTTATATGACACTTTCCTTGTTAAGATACCTTTATATGACACTTTCCCTGTGAAAGATACCTTTATATGACACTTTCCTTGTTAAGATACCTTTATATGACACTTTCCTTGTTAAGAGACCTTTATATGACACTTTCCTTGTTAAGATACCTTTATATGACACTTTCCCTGTGAAAGATACCTTTATATGACACTTTCCCTGTGAAAGAGACCTTTATATGACACTTTCCTTGTTAAGAGACCTTTATATGACACTTTCCCTGTGAAAGATACCTTTATATGACACTTTCCTTGTTAAGATACCTTTATATGACACTTTCCCTGTGAAAGATACCTTTATATGACACTTTCCTTGTTAAGAGACCTTTATATGACACTTTCCTTGTTAAGAGACCTTTATATGACACTTTCCCTGTGAAAGATACCTTTATATGACACTTTCCTTGTTAAGAGACCTTTATATGACACTTTCCCTGTGAAAGATACCTTTATATGACACTTTCCTTGTTAAGAGACCTTTATATGACACTTTCCCTGTGAAAGATACCTTTATTTGACACTTTCCTTGTTAAGAGACCTTTATATGACACTTTCCTTGTTAAGATACCTTTATATGACACTTTCCTTGTTAAGAGACCTTTATATGACACTTTCCTTGTTAAGATACCTTTATATGACACTTTCCTTGTGTGACCTTTTATATGACACTTTCCTTGTTAAGATACCTGATACCTTTATATGACACTTTCCTTGTTAAGAGACCTTTATATGACACTTTCCCTGTGAAAGATACCTTTATATGACACTTTCCTTGTTAAGAGACCTTTATATGACCTTTAACTTTTCCCTGTGAAAGATACCTTTATATGACACTTTCCTTGTTAAGAGACCTTTATATGACACTTTCCCTGTGAAAGATACCTTTATATGACACTTTCCTTGTTAAGAGACCTTTATATGACACTTTCCTTGTTAAGAGACCTTTATATGACACTTTCCCTGTGAAAGATACCTTTATATGACACTTTCCTTGTTAAGAGACCTTTATATGACACTTTCCTTGTTAAGAGACCTTTATATGACACTTTCCCTGTGAAAGATACCTTTATATGACACTTTCCCTGTGAAAGATACCTTTATATGACACTTTCCCTGTGAAAGATACCTTTATATGACACTTTCCCTGTGAAAGATACCTTTATATGACACTTTCCCTGTGAAAGATACCTTTATATGACACTTTCCTTGTTAAGAGACCTTTATATGACACTTTCCTTGTTAAGAGACCTTTATATGACACTTTCCTTGTTAAGAGACCTTTATATGACACTTTCCTTGTTAGATACCTTTATATGACACTTTCCCTGTTAGATACCTTTATATGACACTTTCCCTGTGAAAGATACCTTTATATGACACTTTCCCTGTGAAAGATACCTTTATATGACACTTTCCCTGTGAAAGATACCTTTATATGACACTTTCCTTGTTAAGAGACCTTTATATGACACTTTCCCTGTGAAAGATACCTTTGTGAAAGATACTTTATATGACACTTTCCTTGTTAAGAGACCTTATATGACACTTTCCTTGTGAAGATACCTTTATATGACACTTTCCTTGTTAAGAGACCCTTATGACACTTGACACTTTCCCTGTGAAAGATACCTTTATATGACACTTTCCTTGTTAAGAGACCTTTATATGACACTTTCCTGTTAAAGATACCTTTATATGACACTTTCCTTGTTAAAGATACCTTTATATGACACTTTCCCTTGAAAGATACCTTTATATGACACTTTCCTTGTTAAGAGACCTTTATATGACACTTTCCCTGTGAAAGATACCTTTATATGACACTTTCCTTGTTAAGAGACCCTTATATGACACTTTCCCTGTGAAAGATACCTTTATATGACACTTTCCCTGTGAAAGATACCTTTATATGACACTTTCCTTGTTAAAGATACCTTTATATGACACTTTCCTTGTTAAGAGACCTTTATATGACACTTTCCCTGTGAAAGATACCTTTATATGACACTTTCCCTGTGAAAGATACCTTTATATGACACTTTCCCTGTGAAAGATACCTTTATATGACACTTTCCTTGTTAAGAGACCTTTATATGACACTTTCCTTGTTAAGATACCTTTATATGACACTTTCCTTGTTAAGAGACCTTTATATGACACTTTCCTTGTTAAGAGACCTTTATATGACACTTTCCCTGTGAAAGATACCTTTATATGACACTTTCCTTGTTAAGATACCTTTATATGACACTTTCCCTGTGAAAGAGACCTTTATATGACACTTTCCTTGCAGGACGCCTTAACTCGCAGCTACAGCATGTCCGCAGCCTACATCAAGTCCATGTCCCTGGACAGGAGTAAACTAACCAGCTGCCCAAGCAACAGGATCTCCACTAGCAGCATCAACAAATCCGCCAACACCAGCAATGGAAATGTCAGCTACAACCAAAGTTCTACATTGCCAGGTTGAAGCAGTGAAACTACTTGTTTTAAATAATAATTGTGATTGGCTACTTTCACTCAAGGAAACTGTGTTAGCTTGGTGGCTGGCACAATTTCCTGATGGTCTGATGGTTATAGTGTCCCAGCATGATGTGGTTTCTCATTGTAGTCATTCCATTTGTTATCTGAACCCTCATTGTAGTCATTCCATTTGTTATCTGAACCCTCATTGTAGTCATTCCATTTGTTATCTGAACCCTCATTGTAGTCATTCCATTTGTTATCTGAACCCTCATTGTAGTCATTCCATTTGTTATCTGAACCCTCATTGTAGTCATTCCATTTGTTATCTGAACCCTCATTGTAGTCATTCCATTTGTTATCTGAATCCTCATTGTAGTCATTCCATTTGTTATCTGAACCCTCATTGTAGTCATTCCATTTGTTATCTGGACCGACTCTTTTCCAGTGTGTGCTCCATCTATTTCTGTCCCACAATGTTATTCTTTAAACTTCTTTTTCATTCAAACTTTATTAGTGTAAAGTAACTAGTGCTTTGAATAAAAGGAGATAAAGGAATATTCTCTTCGCCTGCAAGAGCTCACTAGAATCAACATTATTGTACTTGGGGCACATCTATATGTTCTCAGCCTCTCCCAGAAAATATCAAAGTGAAGAGATGATGGTTGCTATCTTTGTAAACTAAATATCTTCTTCTTCATTGCTTCTCTTTCAAAGTTAGTGCACTACCTACAGTTATGCATTTCAAAGGTCAATATACATTTGTATAAGAAGACGTCCTCAAGATAAATTCCCTTAAAAACAAATGGACTCTACCCGTATGTACATTTTTCTCTCTTATAATTTTGCTTTGTTGGCGATGTCACATCCTACTCTTTGCTAGTTCCAGCTGCTGTAGGACTGTTAATGTACACACAGGACCTTCTTTGTTAATGTACACACATGACCTTCTCTGTTAATGTACACACAGGACCTTCACTGTTAATGTACACACAGGACCTTCTCTTTTAATGTACACACAGGACCTTCTCTGTTAATGTACACACAGGACCTTCTCTGTTAATGTACACACAGGACCTTCTCTGTTAATGTACACACAGGACCTTCTCCTCCTAACCCTTATCTGAAAGGAGTAAGTATCCAATCTTGCAGCCTAAGAGATCAGGTTATTTATGACACCATTAGACACCAAAGGTTCTGTAAAAATGCCCAGCTTATGTCATGATTTGAACCCAGTAGCCTTCAAGCTTAAGACATGCATCAAATTACTCAACCAAGCTTCATGGCTGATTACACACATTTACATCATTGTCTTCTATATTAATGTCTGCTAAGGTCACAAATGACAGACGTTCAGGGTTGATCAGTCAACCTCCACACCTGCCTTCAGCAGTCTTAGTCATGTGTGACGAGCATTATTTGCTCTTTGTCCATTCACACTAGCCACAAACTTGGTGCTGTTCATCATACAGTCATCTCAAGTGGCTGTAGACAGGAAATCTACCTCTAGTGCTTTCTGTCTCAAGTCTTTATGGTAATTCTCCATACCGTATCTGCACTGAATTGTGATACTGTCTGTCTTCTTACATATCTGATGCCTTCCAGCTTTTTTGTCTCAACATCCCCTTACTCCATTACAATTTTCATTGCACACCTCGATCATTTATGTTCTCTTCCATTGCATTCCATGTTAAAGATACAAAGCTTTAGCCTTCGGCCTGCTTTAGTCTGGTTTCTTTGTGCTAAATGTGTTGGCTAAGATAGTTTATTTAAGCCAATGTTACTAATTTGTTGGGCCATTATAAATGACTTAGTGGCCCTACTAGAGTGTTGTGGTGTCCTCCTGTGCAAGTCTGGGTTCTGTTTTCGATCCTTTGGTGTGAGTGGGTGGCCTTCTTGCCTTTCTGTACTATTTTATGTTAGCAAAGTCATTGTCTTTATCTTTTTCATTTCTCTCTACAGGACCTATTTTGCATTCACTCTATTTTCTCACTCTCTTTTGTGCCTTCAAAGAGGAGCAAAGAGAAAACCCTTTATTGCTGCTCTTCCCAATATCTCAGTGTTTGTGATATTGTTACATCAACGAGTATAAGTTAAGTGATTTATACTTCCTTATATGTTGCTTTTTTCATCTAAGAAACTTTCCCAAATACTTTGAAAGATCTGCATTTCAAAAGCACAGATTTTACCTGAAGACATGAAGAAGCATATTTCATAATTAACTTTGGTTCTCAGATTGGGTCGGCTCTGTGGCTAAGTCGATGCGAACACTTCGTAATGTCGGGATGCCGGGTTCAATCCCAGCTGCAGGCCATGAACCTTGCATTGGTTACGACAGTGGTATCAAGAAAGCCGACCGCCCAGAAAGCAATGGCAAATTACTGGACGTAAATTTTCCTAGAAAAATCACACAACAGCCCAGGGGCTGGTTTGTTTCTGCAACGTCCTGTAAAGGATACACAACTAACCATCCCAGATTGACCCAGCCTTAAATGGGTACCTGGAAAATGTCCTGGGAAGTAAACGTGGCCTGTGTGATGTTAGAATCATCACTGGGTGTCGTTTTATCAATTCCAATATGGGTCTATCAGCACATGCCTGATACATAAAAAGAGCTGTTAAAAAAACACACCCACACCCACACATACCCACACACACATACCCACACCAAACACACACCCACACATGCCCACACCACACACACACCCACACATACCCACACCACACACATGCCCACATCACACACATACCCACACCACACACACATGCCCACACCACACACATACCCACACCACACACACACCCACACATACCCACACCACACACACACCCACACATACCCACACCACACACACACACCCACACACACCCACACCACACACATTTTGAATTCCTTGATCTTCTCAGTCAAAGGCTCTGTGTAACCACTACAGTCTTCTTCTTCTGTTTAGCGTTGACCATCTGTAAATTCGCAGTGGAATGTTCTGATTTTCGTCCACTCCTGGATTTTTCTTGATGCAGTACTTGAGTTTTGTACACATCTGTTTTACAGATCTGGTTTATTTATCTGCAGACTGCTGGTTCACTACCTTTCAGGCAATGCATTATGCTTGCGAACAAAACACCCATAGTTAGCCACCTTCTGAAACATGCTTGTTAAGGTGCGGTGGTTGTTCATATACAGTGATAAAATACATATGGTATATGAGAAGTCAGAGTTTCATCTCCTGTGAGATTTGTTAAGAGAGAAGTTTCTGTTTCATGCCACTTTACAATACTGATTCCTTATGTAACTTCCCTGATGACACTTGTTCCATCTCTGTCATTGTTCAGCTTAGGGAAGTGTAGCCTGACCCTTGCTTCAATTTTACATTTAAAACACTGGGATTAACTTGTTGTTTCAATTTCCAAACAATGCACAGTGTGTGAAAGGAACTTACTCTTAGTCACTGCCAGCAAATAATGTGTTTTCTTAAATTTATACCTGGTCAGTGAATGTTAAAGAAATCTGGCTACCCAAGTGGCAACATCCATTTTGTTTAGACTGTTTAGCGTTTATATTTTCTCCGTTTGGAGATTTGCTACCAAATCTTTCCAGTGTTAAAAGAGTTTAAGAGCTCAACTTTCTTTATGCATAAGATATAAATGACTAAAAAGATAATAAATATATAAACAAAATTTACATCAGATAAATTACACAAAAGGTAGACATTTTTCCATAAATTTTAATAATATGCATGTATTATTTTCCAGGTGTTTCTCAGCTTCACAGTCAGTCTTTGTATAATTTACCAGGCAACCGCCGCAGCTGTGCCGAAGTTCCTTTCCATCAACCCCCACCACCACCATATGATATCAAAGCTTCATCGAAAGATGATTCTGTGCTGTCATCCAAAGATCGCCGAGCTGTGTCTGAACACCACATTAATTCAGCATTTCGAGTTCCCGTTCTGCCTGCTTCAAATCATGCAGAACCTCTTCGCCATGAAAGATCAAGTATCTATGAAAGTATCAAAGAAAAAACTGAACCTGAAAATTCAGCGTCGTCTTCTGATCCTGAAAGTGTTCCTATGCCAAAGCCGAGGATGAAAAGATTTGGACAAACGGACACCAGCTCCCGGAACTATCTAAAAGATTACATTCTGCCATTATCTAGTACTCGACCAAACTCTTCTGAACAACATCCTTTCAACGGCAGGGACTCTGGGATATTAGACGACCGCTCACCCAGTTTGGGTAATTCTCTAGAGGGTAGCATCACCACAACAGATGGGCCTGTGAATGGTTCTAAGGCACAGGGACAAACAGCTGCTGCAGACTGCAACAGTGAGCAGTCAAAGCGGGATTCTGTACACAGAACCCCTGCAAGTGATAGAAGCATCACTCAACTTCTGGATAAAGAGATGTCCATGAACAATTCCAGTAAGAACAGAAACAAAATAACAGTGCCAAGTCAGTTTTACAGTAAGGAAAATGCCCAAGGGGAACTTGTGGTGAGGAAAAGGTCACGAGGTCAAAGGGATAGACTGCGACAAATTAGACAAGGTGAGTTTTTGGGTAAAGAAAATGAAAAAAGTTATAAGCTTGGCCTACTAAAGATGTGGGAAATGTGTGGTACAGGTACTGAGATGGATTCTTGGAAGAGGGTGCCATGGAGGGGGACAATAAGGAAGGGTATGATTGCAGTTAGGTTAAGAGCTGACAATCTTAAGAAAAAGTAGGTTAAATACATGCGCTGGTGACAATGGTTCCAAAGTCCTACACTCTTTAACTGTGGAGGACTTTTCTTAAAGAGCTTGGGGCTTAGGTGTTGTGGTCATGCTTTGTTATTCAGATATACTTGTTTAAATTCCAGCTGTGTTGCAGATTACTGCTCGGGCAGCAGCTAGAAATGCACTGTACCAGTTCTAAATGAAATATGGGTTGTGTTTCTGCGTTCTTTTTGACACGTAGCTAAGGTGGGGCTCACAGTCTGCTCATTCCCTGCCACCAGATTGCCTGCTGGTTTTGTTGGGTTCTCAATGGCTGTAAGCTTAGCCTAAGCATGAGTAGTTAGGGTGGCAGGACTACCTCAGGGAGGATGTGGTTCTTCACCTCGCACAAAGGTCTTGGGGGTAAGAGAGGTTATGCTAGGTCAAGAGGTTAAACCCCAATGGAACGTTCCTTTTCATGAACTAGACCTAGGGTGAAGTAAGGGGGCAGATCACTACCACCACAACACTAACACTTCATGCCCCCTGCCTTTCAAGGCTCGGTCCCGTCCTGCTGGTCATATCCACCCCCGTTATGGCCTGTGATTCCTATGCTTTGCTATAGCACAAAACAACACTGTCATCTGGAAATACTGAAGGGGGATAACAAAAAAATCCATATTCTCTGCCATCTCCTGAAAGACACTTGGCACATTTGAGGATATCCTGAGTGTCATGACCCCAATGGTGTATGACAAAAATAAACTTATGATGTAAGCATATTCAATGTTTTAAAGCAAATTCGCTTCTCAGTTTAACTTAACTTTAAATAAAACTGCAATGTCACCTTCACATAATATTGCAGTAAACACAAGGATGAGCTTAGTCTATCTGCTTTGCCACTATACACTTGTGGCCTAAATAAACATTTGTTGTTTTTTTCCCGCTCTTTCTTCTTTGTGAACATTCTGAGCTCTTGATGTTCCCTGCTCCAGATATCACTCATGTCCATTCTTTGCCTGTGACCCACCTTCTCTTTCGAGGTGACTCCTAGTGTTTGTAGGTCGGCCTGTATATTTTCTCTACACTGTCTTCTTGGACTGCCCCGTGGTCTACTCCCATTGAACTCTTTTATGTCTTCCTTTGAGAGTTATAAGGGGATTGTGCCCCCCCCCCCCCCCCTCCCTTTCCACCCATAAAATAACAAGTTTTCATTTATTTTATGCTAGCAAACCGGAGGTACACAGTGCAGGGGCTGGAGAACAGTGCATCAGGTCTTTATGACGAAAGTGCGTCTGAGCCAAGTGATTCCTCACGAACTGAGGTCCCTGAAGATATGATGTCTGTATTCAAAAATATGACAAAGGAGGTTAGTAATTGTGGACTTTATAACTGGTAATGGTTGTCTTTATTGCTGGTAACTGTGGTCTTAATTACTGGTAATTGTGGTCTTAATTACTGGTAGCTGTGTTCATTATTATTAGCAACAGTGATCTTCATTACTGACAACTGTTGTATTTATTACTGGCAAATGCGGCCTTTATTAATGGCAACCATGGTCTTTATTACTTATAACTGAGGTCTTTATTACTTTAACTGAGGTCTTTATCACCAGTAACGGTAATCTTTATTACCTATACTCATAGTCTTTATTGCTTTAAGTGAGGTATTTATTACCAGTAAATGTGGTCTTTATTACTTTAATTGAGGTCTTTATAACTTGTAACCATGGTCTTCATTACATTAACTTAGGTCTCTATCACTGGCAAATGTGGTCTTTATCACTGGCAACTGTGGTCTTTATTACTGGCAACTGTGGTCTTTATCACTGGCAACTGTGGTCTTTATTACTGTCAACTGTGGTCTTTATTACTGACAACTGTGGTCTTTATTACTGACGACTGTGGTCTTTATCACTGGTAACTGTGGTCTTTATCGCTGGCAACTGTGGTCTTTATCACTGGCAAATGTGGTCTTTATCACTGGCAACTGTGGTCTTTATCACTGGCAACTGTGGTCTTTATCACTGGCAACTGTGGTCTTTATCACTGACAACTGTGGTTTTTATCACTGGCAAATGTGGTCTTTATCACTGGCAACTGTGGTCTTTATCACTGGCAACTGTGGTCTTTATCACTGGCAACTGTGGTCTTTATTACTGGCAACTGTGGTCTTTATTACTGTCAACTGTGGTCTTTATTACTGTCAACTGTGGTCTTTATCACTGGCAACTGTGGTCTTTATTACTGTCAACTGTGGTCTTTATTACTGACAACTGTGGTCTTTATCACTGGTAACTGTGGTCTTTATCACTGGCAACTGTGGTCTTTATCACTGGCAAATGTGGTCTTTATCACTGGCAACTGTGGTCTTTATCACTGGCAACTGTGGTCTTTATCACTGGCAACTGTGGTCTTTATTACTGTCAACTGTGGTCTTTATCACTGGCAACTGTGGTCTTTATTACTGTCAACTGTGGTCTTTATTACTGACAACTGTGGTCTTTATTACTGACGACTGTGGTCTTTATCACTGGTAACTGTGGTCTTTATCACTGGCAACTGTGGTCTTTATCACTGGCAAATGTGGTCTTTATCACTGGCAAATGTGGTCTTTATCACTGGCAACTGTGGTCTTTATCACTGGCAACTGTGGTCTTTATCACTGGCAACTGTGGTCTTTATCACTGGCAACTGTGGTCTTTATCACTGGCAACTGTGGTCTTTATCACTGGCAACTGTGGTCTTTATCACTGGCAACTATGGTCTTTATTACTGACAACTGTGGTCTTTATTACTTGTAACCGGGGTCTTTACTTTTAACCATGATCTTTGTCACCAGTAACAGCAATCTTTATTACCTGTACTCATTGTCTTTATAACTTTAACCGTGGTCTTTATTAATTTAAATGAGGTCTTTATAACTTGTAACCGTGGTCTTTATTGCTTTAACTGAGGTCTTCATTACCTGCGATCTTTATTACTGGCAACAGTGATCTTTGTTACTGACAACTGTGCAGTTTTCCACAAAAACCAAGCAGAAAGACTAACTAGGGCAACAAATGTCTGAAGAATTCGAATGTACTGTCCAAAAAGTGCAAATACTGCAGTCAAGCTGTAAACACACACACAATCTGATTACACACTCAGATAAATAAAGAAGAAGAAGAAGATTCTTAAGTGTGTTTCTTTGCATGGCAGCTTGTAAAGCTATTCTGATGGCATTGCTTGATGCCAGGAGGGGACGCTGTGAACAAAGTCTGCATCATGCTATTGCCATGCTTATTTTGCTGTAGCTTGTCAGGTGCATGCTACAGTAGCAGTTGACTAAACTAAAGTAACTAGACAAATCCCTACCACCGAAATAAAAAAATCAACCACTAGCAGAAGTATCAGGCAATAAATTGTACAGTCTGTTGTTTGTGTTTATGTCTAAATGTGAAAATGGGGAAACATTGCTATGAAAGTATGTGTCCTCCATGCACAGATTCAGAGTGTCAACAAATCTTCTTTTTCTTCTTCTTCTCCTTCTCCTTCCTCTTCTTCTTCCTCTTCCCCTCCTCCTTCTCTTCTCCTCCTCCTCCCATCCTTCTCCTTCTCCTTCCATCCTCCTCCTCCTTTTTCTTCTTCTTCTTCTTCATTTTCACTGGCTTTAAACTCTGCCCAGAAAGCTCTGGATGTTGATCCACTTCTGGACTTTGGTCTTGCAGATGTGACTACGACAGAAACATCCCTAATTTGCCACCTTGTACAAAATGCTTGTTAGGGGGACAGCGGGTCATTCCCCCTCCTCCCCTCCTAAAAATAAGGCCCTGGAATCCACAAATGAAAGATTGTCAACAACAAAATGTGTGTGTAATTACCTGTTGAAGCATAAATCAGATGGGTAAAACAATATGGTCGCACAGCTGTAGACCAGTACCAGGCAGGGAAAGTTTTTGCTCTCCAGCTCCGAACTGATTCACCTCAGTGACCGATGACTCTGCAGAGAATGTAGACCATTTAAATCAGATACATATCCTCTTTGGGGTGTCGCAGACTACCCTAGCATTTAACCCTTTCGGTCCAGACTTTTTAACTCTTCAACCCCCAGTGGTTTTTTTTAGCTTTTTTCTATGCAGTTAATAATATTAACTAATAAATGTTTGAATATAAGTGTTTTCAGATAATATCAGTTTTAGACAGACATGATGCAGGTAACAAATGGAATATAAAGAGTTAATGTTGTGCAGGGATGGATAACATAGAGTTATAAACCACATCATACTAGAAATAACCCATAAGCCTTCGGTACAATCATTAGTACTGTATGAGTTAATGTTTGTTGTGTGATTTTAGAGCAGCAGCTGGTTGAGTAGTTAAAACAGTGAGCCCTCATGCGAGAGACCCCGGTTCAATCTTTGATAAGGGATGGAATCTTTGTGTCAGAGCAAAAACAAAAAACCTAACCACAGTAGGTGGCAACTACACTGCAGCTGTATATCCTCAGAATTACAACCCACCTGTTCTACACATTCCTAACAGTGGCAAACATAGGCAGTATAAAGTCAGTGTGCAGTTTTATTGAATAATTTCACTTTTAGTAATTTTCTGTTGCTTTCCGAATTGACACGATGTCCATACAATTGTTCTTATTCTTCATCACCTGCTGTAAACTTTGGCAGAAAGTTCTGGTTGTTCGTCCACTTCAGTACTTTAGTCCTGTTCCAGAATGTGAGTTCTGCATGCACATTCATTCTGCAAGATCTGGTTTTTTTGTCAGACTAGGGGTTTAAACAATGGATCAAAATCATGGCACAAAGGTAGTTACCGATAAGTGGTCTGTTCTACTTCTAACTCAAGCCTGAGTCTGAAGAATCTCAGCACAGTGCACGAACTCCATAGCACTGGCAAGGATCCTGTATTTGTCAGCAGACTGCTGGTGCCTTACCTCTTAGGCAGTTGACTCTTACGACATGCTGGTTTGTGAGGCAGTCAGTCTTCTCTTGTTTTCCCCTCACAATGGAGTCCCAGAACACAGTCAGAGACATACCATCGTTACAGTCAATATGAAGTGATCTCCTACCCAACTACCCTACTTCAAATTCCAGTGTATCAACATCATCATTATGCAGAACACTTACGCCTGCCAACTTTCATGCCAAGAGTGTCTTTGATATTGTGTGATGGTTGACCCAAGTATATCAGGACTGTGGAACTGTGTACTCAGCCCTTAAGCCACAGAGCAGAAGCTTATGGAAGTACATTTATTTAGTCTTCTCTTTATCTTAACATTCACTGGCTCTAAATGCTAGCGGAAAATTCGGGTTGTTTGCCCAGTTCTGAATTTTAGTCATGTTCCTTACTTAAATTTTGCTAATGCATTCATTTTACTGATTTGGTTTATTTCTATGCAGACTGTTGGTTCCTTGCCCCCTATGGCAGATGCACTCCAACTTTCTTCTTCTTTTTGTTCACTGGATGTAAGCTCTAGTGGAAAGTCCTAGTTGTTCGTCTATCTGAAGTTTAGCTTTGTGCCAGGGCCTGAGTTTTCCTGTGTAAATCCGTTTTATACTGGATTATTTGAGTGCAGTTGGTTTTTCCTTGCTGCTCAGGGAGATGCACTGTGACTTTGAAGGAAGTTCCCAAATTAGTCGACTCCTAACCACATGCTTGTTGGGGAAACAGTGGGTCTATTCTTTTTTCCCCCACAAAGGGATCCCAGAACCCAGATGGGAGCACTCTTTGAAGAAAGATATTTAGTCAGTTATTAGGTCATGTATGAGGTCATATACATGTGTAATGTGTGTCTATACAATGAGAGTTAATTCTCATCCTTTCTATATCTCATCTAGGAACTTCTCCGGGTTGTCTTAACCTCTAAAGCTCAGATGATAAGAAAAGACCAGTATATCAGAGATCTGGAGAATTACATCGATGACCTTCTTGTGAGAGTCATGGAGACAACACCGAGGCTGCTCAGTCGGCACACCCTCCACAGACTGTGATAGCATCAAATCATCAGTCTGGAGCCTCTTTGGCACAAGTCACGGAATTAAACAACAACTGTTAACTCTACTGTATAGAACTCATGGATCAGTAGTGTTTTCTTCTTCATTCTGTTTTTCTTCTTGTGTTAGTTTTCAAAAGGGGTTGTTGGCATATTGTGGTTTACAGACAGGATATGTCATCCGCTCCCACCCAAGTCACACAATTAAGTAACATGTAAATATACTGTAAAGAGCTTATTGACCACAATTTTAATTTTTCTTCTCCTTCTGAAATCACCCTAAAGTGATTGGTACACTGTGTTGTAGTTTACAGCTAGGCTGCAATATCTGCACATATCGGTCCAATGCATCTCATTTTTGTTCCTGCCTTTTTAACCCCCCAGTGGTCAACCAACTCACGCCAAGTAATTCTATCCTTTGCTATTCCATGCTGCTGTTCCCATGTATTCCCCATCTTTTTGGCTTCACACTCTTGCTTCCTTCTCCATGGTTTTTTTTTTTTTTGGGGGGGAGAGGGGGGTGCTCCCCTTTATTTCTATGCCCTACATCTAATTTCAGCAACCCCTAATCATGATATGCTTGTTAGGGAGACAGTGGGTCTAATCTTTTGACCCCACAAGGAGACCCAGAGCCCACATGGGGTGACAGATTTGTGGATGTGTGTTTTCTTCCAAATGTTCGCCAGCTGTAAACAATGGCGGAAAGTTCTGGTTGTTCATCCACCTCCAGACTCTAGTCCTGTTCCAGAACCTGAGTGTTGCGTGCATATTTGTTTTACAGATTTGACTCATTTGTATGCAGACTTTCTGTTCCTCAGCTCTCAGGCAGATGCACTCCAACTTCAAAGGAAGCTCCCAATCAGTTGACTCTTGAGATATGTTTTGAGTAGGCAATTCTTGTTTTTCTCATAACGGGGCCCTGGAACCCACACAGGAAGCTGTATGTTTGTACACTGATATTTTTCTTTACGCAAATGCCTGGTACCTGTTTCAGTCCCAGATGCTTTAAAAGTAGAAACCCAATTTGAAACAATAAGCACAGTTAAAAAAATAAAAAAGTATCAGTGTATGGTTTTCAAAGATACAGCATATATATATGTATACTTAGCTGATTGTAACATATTTGGCCAGATGTCTTTTGCATGTCCAGACCAAACATGTTAGATAATAATAATACACTGTGTGTTGTGCTGATACACACAGACATGAGCTGAGACACATGACATACTGCTTGAGACAGAAATAGTTAATGTTATACAGATAATTACAATCTTCAACTTCCTGGGACCAGTTTTATGGTTGCATGGAACTTTTATGTTATGTCGGAGTCCAGATTATGGCAGCCCAGTATTCAGATCCTCTTGGTAACATGGCTTTTCTTGGATGTGACGACCTACTGTGTGTTTTGTGCCTGTTAATGCCTTAACAATATAACTTGCCAAAAGATCTGAATGTTTTACCATTAAGCATTGTTTTTATTTTATTATGCCCATTTTGATATTTTAAATTACCTTACTTAAAAGAGAAGCTGTTACTTGATGTAAACATATTTTCAAACAAGTTAATCGCATGACCTCTTCAAAATGTCGAAGACTAACTGCAGTATTACTTGCCATTGGGAAGTATTACTGGGTGATTTTATATTTAGTAGTTTGCCACTGCTTATTAGATAAGGTATTAATTAATACTGCACAGTGATCTTTATTCAATCCTTATCCAAAGTGAATAGCTTAAAAAAAAAAAAAAATCTTTTTCACGCCACTGGCATATTTAGCATTTAATGCTAGACTCATGTTTTTAATAGACTAGTCAACCGTCGAGGGGTGACCAGTCAGCAGTCGAGGGATGACCAGTCAGCAGTCAAGGGGTGACCAGTCAGCAGTCCAGGGGTGACCAGTCAGCCGTCGAGGGGTGACCAGTCAGCAGTCGAGGGGTGACCAGTCAGCAGTTGAGGGGTGACCAGTCAGCAGTCCAGCGGTGACCAGTCAGCAGTCGAGGGGTGACCAGTCAGCAGTCGAGGGGTGACCAGTCAGCAGTCGAGGGGTGACCAGTCAGCAGTCGAGCAGTCAGCAGTCGAGGGGTGACCAGTCAGCAGTCGAGGGGTGACCAGTCAGCAGTCGAGGGAGGATGTGGTCAACAGCATGCTGGATATCTTTACTTTCCAGGACCTTACCTGATACCCATTTTTGGCTCAGCCAACCTGGCAGCCAAAGACAATTTTGAAGAAGAAAAAAACAATTTGACTTGGTGAGGATTCTAACAAGCGATTGTATGAAATCATGTATACCTTTGGATATAATCCAGCATATTTTTTTTAAATGTTTGAGAAGTGTCTATTGTTTTGTTTTTTTGTGTGAGAGAGAGAACAGAAAGGGAAAGAGAGACCGGGTCATGTGGGATAAAACCCAGAGCAATTAGGCTGGTCCTCTCGACTTTAAACTTTTATTTAATTCACATCCCTATGACAGCATACACTAACGGCTTTTCTATGTATATAATTATGGAAATCATACATAGGCTTGACATGTTATGCAAACAACACTGGCATATCATAAATGACATTTTGTCAGAAAACAGAATACTGATTTTTCACATGTAAATACTTCTAAATTGGAAATTGACACAATTCCTATAATTTATAATCCAGAATAAATATAATAGACACATTTAACTGTGCCTTATACAGTAAAACCTAGTTAACATGAACTAACTTCAGAAGAACACTTGGTTAGCATAAGCAACTTTTGGTTGCAGCAGGAATGTATTATCACCAGTGCAAGTTTCCTTAACAGGATCTCTTGATTTTTTTCTCTCGATCTTTTGGCATTTTTGTTAACTTGCTTGCTTGCTTGTTGTACCCCACCAGGACATCACACAAGCGATTTACACCCAGTGACACAAAGTGCCACCATGCGGATCAGGATCATCTGTGGAGAGGTCCCAGAAACCTCTTTCAGCCGTTATGGCCACATTCATAGCCCGGATATATTTAGGCCAGCAAGATTGTAGAGAATGCAGAACTCTTAATTTATAATAATGTATGCAGTGCTATTCTATCAAATGTCAAATGTGTGTTCAGAAGATAAGGAAAATAGTCATAATATAATAAAATGTTAACGTGCTATGCTAGTTGTAACGAGGAAAGACTGACTTAGGAGCAGTGATATCAGGAGGAGAGTCGGCACAAAACCAATCCTAAATTTTATCAGTAGACAAACAGATCAAATGGTTTTGGCCATGTTGTAATAAGATTGGCATCAGACAGGGCACCACAGAGAGCAATGTTATACAAATAAGTGGTAACAGAGCAGAAGATGGACTGCAGATATATCAGATCAAAGACACTGACAATACTATTTACAAAGCGAACAGAAGGGCCCATTCCATAGATTTTTTCCTGGCTTGACACTGCAAGATATTCCAGAAGTAGAGAAGAAGAAGAAGAAGATTTCACCACTTCAAGTGAGAGATGACATTTTGAAATGCTAGTGCCAGTGCTACCTGACAACTAATTTTGCTGGACTGCACTTTCAGATGTCAACTGCATTACTTATCTGGCATGTATAAAACAATGATTACTGGCCAAACCTGTTCACTATTATGTAATTGAATACTTCAGATCTTGTGCCAAGCTGGACATTTACATGTTATTTCTTAAAGTGCATTTATTGTGTTTCAGTTATCATAATATTTATAATTACTAATTGGTGCCTTTTGTTTTTATGTGCTATGTTATTACAAAACTAAAGTAATGCAAACTCTGCTGTAATGACCAAATTTCTGTCACAAAGTTAATTTATTCTGCATTGAAATCATTGATGATGTTTTTTTTTTCCCATTTTTTCAATAAATGTATATCAGAAAGAGGCAATCAACATAGCTGGTTATAATATCTTTCCTCTTCTTCATCACCTGTAACTCTTTCAATACCAAGAATTGCAAGATACGTAGTTTGTTACTGTCTATGAATTCTATCTATTGAAAAATTTATTATTTTACCTGTTACATTAGGTTGTACAATACTTACCAGGGGTTTTGGTGGCAAAGTGGTCAAGTTGTTTGCCTCGTGCTCTGAAGGTTGTGGGTTTGTACAGGATGGCACTGTTCAGTTCACGAGTGCAATTTTTACTGAGATTCCTGGTGGTTGTCACTGGAGCTACAGAGTTTGTGCTTTATGTGATGCTCTCAGCAGGCGGCTATCCATTCTGCGGAGGGAGACCCAGCCATATGGGATACAACCCGGTGCAATGAAGTCAATACTCTCGACTTTAACCTTTAACTTTTTTAAATACAGAACAGTAAGAAATTCTGGTTTAAACATTAGTTGTTTCATTTATGTACTTACGCCCTTTAAAAGCAAACCCCTCATGTTTGTTCACAGTAGTCATTTCTTTCCTTGCAAATCTTATTTTGTTCACAGTAGTAATTTCTTCCTTTGCAAATCTCCTCCCTTTGTTCACAGTAGGAATTTCTTCCCTTGCAAATCTCCTCACTTTGTTCACAGTAGTCATTTCTTCCCTTGCAAATCTTGTTTTGTTCACAGTAGTAATTTCTTCCCTTGCAAATCTCATTTTATTCACAGTAGTCATTTCTTCCCTTGCAAATCTTATTTTGTTCACAGTAGTTATTTCTTCCCTTGCAAATCTCATTTTATTCACAGTAGTCATTTCTTCCCTTGCAAATCTTATTTTGTTCACAGTAGTAATTCCTTCCCTTGCAAATCTCCTCACTTTGTTCACAGTAGTCATTTCTTTCCTTGCAGATCTCTTCACCTTGTTCATAGTAGTCATTTCTTCCAATGCAAATCTCAGTTTGTTCACAGAAGTCATCTCCTTCCTTGCAATTTTGTTCACAGAAGTCCTCTCCTTCTTTGCAAATCTCCTCACAGAATTGATTTATTCCCTTGCAAATCTCCTGACTTTGTTAATTGGGTCATTTCTTCTCTTGCAAATCTCCTCACTTTGTTCATTGGGTCATTTATTTCCTTAAAAATCTCCT